CCAATGTGTTTTGATTGCAATCTCCCAAACTTTAAAATCTGTTTGTTTGTTTATTGATTTATTAGCATTTCTAACAATTGCCAACAATTATCTTAGTGTTAGGGATTCGATTCTGAAGAAAGCAAGATTTATGCTGAATCTTTTCTTTAGGTATTGCAGTTTATATTTTAATATGTATTTCCTCTTTTCAGTCAACCTAAAGAAAGAAGGAAAGGTTATGCAGGTATATAGAGAACATGCTATAATTTTGAACCTGAATATAAAATACTTCATCCTGAAATGCTGATGTCTATTTTCTGTTATGGAATAAAGATAATACTCATTAAAGGATTTTAGACATCAGAAACATTTTTTTTTTACTGCTTTGGTATTCATTGCTTCACTTTTGCAAAATGGTGTCAGGGTTCATTTAGAATTGCCAGCATTGAGTTATAATAATCTTAATTTATTGTTAGGTATTGTACTAGGGTTATGGAAGTGAATTAACACTGTTTTTAGTATGCTGTATTTTAACTCAGATTATTGTATGATATTCTATTTACAGCATTAGGAGCGTTACTAATTATATGATTGAGTGTAACTCAATAAATGAGAACACAATATTTGTTACAATTAGTGATTATCCAATAAATACTTGATATTTTAGCTGCAGTGCAGGAAAATAGCAATAAATCAACACACGGTGAACCTGATTGCAGTCTCAGGTTAAAAAAAGATTGGTGCATAAATACCTATATCAAAGACGGGAGATGCAAATGAATGTATAAATTATTAAACTATTGCTCTAACTATACAAACAGCATTTTCCCTGAGTTGATATAAATATAAGAAAGACATGCTAAAAGAAATAAGCAGGTATCAGAAAGCCAAGAAGACATGATCAGAATAATATCAAAAGGATAATTCACTAAGCCAGAAAATTTGACTGTATATTTTATGGGGAAATATAAGGGTTGATTACTGTTGTGATGTTCTACAAAGCAAGGGATGGTTAGAAATAAAAATAAGAGGAAATACCATTTGGGTGAAAATGAATAGTGATTTGGAGGTAGATGAAGAGGGCTGAGCAAGCAGTCTATAGCTGAGTAAAAATACAAGTGATTAAATGATTGAAGATGAAACCTAAGTGAAGGAATATTGAAATAATATTTTAGAGATTTGTTTGAGAACTACTATTATTGGGAAGCCTGAAATTGAAATAAATGTAGAGTTTATATTTATATTCACATTCACGTACATACATACCCTGAGAATGTTAAAATTGGTAAGTCTGCCATGAAAACGGTGTGAGTGAAGAACTATTAAAATATGGCTCTGCTTTGTTTACAACTTTACATAGAGAGTGTCTGAAGTGACACTGATGTGTCTATGAAAACTGTATGTATAACTCATGACTGGATTTACAGTTTCCTTGTCAAAGGAAAAGATCAAGAATGAATGAAAAAAATATGATTAGATTGTTAAATGTTCCTAGTTCAGATCCTACTATAAGAAATGATAGTGAACAAAATCTGGGAAATGAAATTATTTCATGATGGAGACCAGCTTCCTGTATTTTGTAAGAAGTGAAAATGTTTCTGCATGGTTCCATCTACTTTGCTATATGGAAGTAAATGTTGAGAATGAATGCACTAGGATTGGTCTATCTGGAAAACAATACAATGGTACCTTGGCACTCTTATTAATTGGTTCCGGGAGGTGCTATGAGTACCAAAAATGATGAGCACAAAAATGATTTTCCCCATAAGGAATGATATAGTGAGTCACAAGGCAGCCAACTCTGACAAGTTCTAGCTTGTGTGTTGAGTGCCAAACAAACAATGAGTACCGGGATAAAATTTTCATATCAAGTGCATTGGGTACCAAATTTGATGAGTTTCAAAGCAGTTGAGTACTAAGGTAGCACGGTATATGGTAAAATAAGAGACAAGGTAGCAATAGCCTTTAGACTTATGTTCCTCTTTACAGTGCTTTACAGCCCTCTCTAAGCATTTTACAGAGTCAGCATATTGCCCCCAACAATTTGGGTCCTCATTTTTCCCACCTCGGAAAGATGGTAGACTGAGTCAACCTTGAGGCTGGTGAGATTTGAACTGCCAAATTAGCCTGCAGAAGTAGCCTGCAGTACTGCACTCTAACCACTGCACCACCATGGGTAAAGAATGTATGCATGTCAAATGAATGTGGACTGAATACAACAGTAAGTGACCAGTGTGAAAGAAGCACATTATGATGGCTTGGTTATATGGACCAATTGTCCATCACAAAACAGATCTATGAAGGAAGACTAAATGGATGGAGAGAAAGGATAAGGTTAAGAAACTTGTAGTTGCATGGAGTCACTGAAAAAAGAGAGGAGAAAGTGTATGAAAAAGAAAATGGAAGTGGTAGAAGCAAGATTTTCTTGTAAAGATAGAATAGCATGAAGGGATACAGTAAATTTAGTTGTTATCTCATACCTTTAATTTCTTTGCCTGCTATTTCTTCTTTTCATTAATACAGATTGCACATAAGAGTTTT